CTGTCTGCTCTCATAATTTCAGTTTTAAAAATAAACTGCAATTGCATAGTTAGTTCCATTACATTTTTTGTGGAAGAAACCTTATTTCAAGATAAGTCTCTGCTCCCCTGTTTGCGGCTGCATTATCCAGAATCCGATTCCCATAAGATATCAAAGTGCTACATTTCCAAGCTCCAGTCATGCCAGACTTACTTTCCTTCATGTCAAACAGTGTGAAGCTTCAGTTTGCTAATTCTGCAGTGTTGAGAAGACACGGGAATTAAGGACCAGTTTGTCAAGCTTCACTTGGAGAATACACCCAGACTACAGTGTGTCAGCTCAGCACAGCCAAAAAATCAAGAGGGTTTTTTTTCCCCCCCAAACTGGTGGAAACTATACTACAAAGGAGCAATGTTTTGGCAGCTGTGACTCTGTACTAGAGAATTTTTAGACCATTTGCCACTTCTGTAGCAAAATAAAATGTCTTCAGAAAGGCCTATGGACCTGCCATCTTCAATTATACAGCGATATGTGTTCAGTTAAGCCCACACACTCACGTATGCACCTGCAGCCCACCACAGAACAAGAAAGCCTAGGTCAGAACCTGCCAGAAATCTTGCATAACTTTGAGAGAAATTCAGAAGATACTACTGTGCGTACCCAAATATACCATATAGTGCTATTTGGTTCCCAGAACACACATCACATGTGCTACATTCCAGTCCGCACACAGTGGGTAGAAGAAGCATCTTTAAAAAAGGAAGTTAACAGCAAGTGCCCAGGTTATAGTTACTTGTTTCCTTTGATCCACTGAGTCTCCCAACAGGGTATTTTCAGTACACTCTAAAATGCAAAGTAGAGATAAGGCAATGCAAGTTAGTGTCAGGAACAAAATGTTATTGCACATATGATCTCATAGGGCAGGCACTTCAGTATGCAAAACAGATCTAATAATCATGTTATAAAGCTGAATAATTGGCTAAAATGAGAAATTTTAAGTTAAAGTGAACTTCTTAGGTGTTAATGAGGACAGATATCTGCTAAACCAGCAGTGACAGCAAAGCAAAAACCTCAAAACCCCTGGATGATGTGCTAGATCCTAGCAGGGAAGTAAATAACACTACAAATATTTTTTCTCTCACACCAGCCAACATGTATAACTCATTGAAACAAGAAGTTAAAAATTCTAGTAAAATTCAAGGAAGAGCTGGACATTTATATAATAATAAGCTCATCTACAAGTACAGTGTCAATACAAAAACATTCTACTGCACGCCTCTCTTCATGCAAACTAAATTCAAGCCAAAAAATTACACTAAAAGTTATATCCTAGGCAAAAGTCCCTCATACAAATGCTACTGCTAAATCATGTCTTCTCTGAAATTCCTGCTTTTGCCAACTGTCACATTGGACTAAAATAACAACTCGTGCTTATTTAACATAAAGCACTTTAAAATAGGAGAAAAAAGTTTTGCCTTATAGATTAGATTTCATCCTTACTACTTTACTCAGAAGGTGGATAATTTTGGGGGTGTTTTTGGTTGGGTGTGTTGTGTCTGTTGGTTTTTGTTTGTTTGTTTTGGGGGGTTTTTTTAAGTTTTCTTTACTTCATTAACAACTTACTCTTTACAAGCCATAATTTTAAGCCAAGAACAGTTGTTTCTTCTGATAATTAAGGATAATATTTTATGATAGGGTAACACATACTTACTATTCAGAGTTTGCTCAGTAATTTATCTGGACTACTGCTACCCTGTTATTTTAAACTGAAACACTTGAAAGAAAGTCTATTAGTATAAATAAAAACTTACAAAAGTTTTCCCACAGAATAGTAATTTTGATAAAAATTAAAAGTTTCTTGCAAATCAATGTTGAAGTTTTTAAAGTGCAATTCACATTTACTTCGCTCACCCATGTATTCAAGGTTCTGTACCTTCATTTAGGATGAGTTGTTTCTTTGCTTTGTGTGATGACGTGTGCACTGTCCCCTAAGAAAAATGCCTTTGACATTTTGGTAGAGGA